TTGTCATGACCAAAATTGTCAGTCGACCCCTTTAGGAGTTATTGCCCTTAATAGTCAATTTTTAACAATTTTTCGTAAATTTTTGTAATCTTTTACAAAAATCTTCCTCTCTGAAACTACTGAGACAAATTTAACCATGCTTGGCCATAATCATTATTAGGGTATCTAGTTCAAAACATTTGTCCGATGATTCCGCCTTCCAACCATCATGGCCAACTTGGTTAAAAATAGAACATAGGGGTAAAATGCAATTTTTGGTTTATATCTCTGAAACTAAAGCATTTAGAGCAAATCTGACAGGTGGCAAAAATGTTCATCAGATATAGATTTATCTGTCCGGAAATTTCAGACGAATCCGACAACCCGTTGTTGGGTTGCTGCCCCTGAGTTAGTAATTTTACAAAAATTTTGCAGTTTTTTGTTATTATCTTAGATATCATTATAATAACTTATATCTAATACTATTAATTATGATATCTAATACTATTAATTATGATTTTAACCTTATTTTACATGATTTCCAAAGCATCAGTAAATACAGGTGAGCGACACAGGCTCTTGAGAGCCTCTAGTTCTCTTAGCCTGTCAATGCTGAGGTTGTGAGTTCAAGCCCAGCATGTGGTAGGTGTGTACCACTTCAATTACTAGGATTTTCAGTTTTCCTGCCAAAGTCCAATCTCTCTCTGGGAACTTCAGATTCCTCCACCAATAAAAACTAATTGGCACGAAATAGGCAATAGAGGTAAAAGTGGCGTTAAAATTCACTTGATAAGGGACTTACCGTTTTGATTTTTCCTTGGAGTTGGGTATTTTTGATATACTTTTTTCAACCTTAGATTTTTTAATTTCTATGGTAATTGTATAAATACTGTTTTGGCAGAAAAACCAGATAAACCTAGGTGAAACAAATTTGTGGAGTTTAACTTATGTCTGCCCTTCATCTTGAGTTATATTACTCCGATAATGGAAAGGCCCATCAAACACATTCTTGAACTGAAAAGGTCTTGTCATGACAAAAAGATATACATATAGTTTTTAACAGTTTAAGATATGAAGGAGTGGGGCATGACAACAGCCTCCTCCCCCACAGACAAATTCCACAGTACACATAAAAAGTGTTGTCATGGCAGTTCAGAATATATATGGTTTAGGGGTGGGGATCTGAAAGTTTTTATATATTTAACCATTAAAGATATAAAGTAGAATGACATTACCTCCCATCGAAAATATCTATGAAGTACTGTAAAGGTCTTGTCATGACATTAAGTATATGAACTAGAAAGGTCTTATCACTGCAATTAAGACTATATATGTTTAGGGTAAGATCTGAACATGTTTGAGAACAGGCCACTATAGGATCTTCAACAATAAGTACAACCCATACTCTATTAAAAGCTATAAAAAGCTCGAGGGTGACAATTCAAAAAGAGATAACAGATTATCTGATTTATACTACAAAAATAAATAAAAGTACAGAGTTCCAATGTCCCCTGCATTGCACATATTTTATCTGTCCAATGGCAATAACTAAAAAGAAATTTTTGTATTTAGTTCTTTAAAACTTTTTATAAACAGCTTGAAGAAATGTAGGCTTGAAAAAACTTACAATGTAATTTTCCATATACTGAATACTTCCAAGGTGCATAACTCTTTTAAAAAGAGTTGATCAGCACTGATTTTCAATTTCTTTTTGAGACATTGCTGATATAATTTTTTTGATTTAAGTTGGATAAAAATCTGGCAAGAATTGTACACATGAGATGACTTACAATGCAATTTTCCATAAAATTAATATTTCCTAGGGGCACAACTCTTTAAAATATTTGATCAGCTCTGAATTTCGAACTTGTCCAAGACATTGCTAATATAAACCTGATATAAGTTTGACATAAATCTGACAAGAATTGTACATGTGAGAGCCCTTACAATGCAATTTTCCATATAATTAATATTTCCAAGGGCATAACTTTTTTAAAAAGAGTTGATCCGCACTGATTTTCGGACTTGAACTTGAACTTAACCTCTAATATAAGTTTGATAAAAATCTGACAAGAATTGTTCTTCGTAAGAGCACTTACAAGAAGGGACAGACACACAGTATTTTTATGTCCCCCCTGCAACGCGTCACATGGGGAACAAAAAATTAATTAGGGCAGACAGCAATAAACTACAAACTCTGGATTCAGAGCTTCTGATGAGACAGGCACATGAAGAATGTGGCAGGGTTAAATCAGAACAAACTGTGTTTTATGTTGTAATGTTATACCACTGTTTCAGGTTAGGGTGAAGGTTGGCGCCTGTTAAAACGTTTAAACCCGCTGCATTTTTATGCACCTGTCCTAAGTCAGGAGCCTGTTGTTCAGTGGTTGTCGTTTGTTGGTGTGGTTCATAAGTGTTTCTCCTTTCTCTTTTTTTATATAGATTAGACCGTTGGTTTTCCTGTTTGAATTGTTTTACACTATTCTTTTTGTGGCCCTTCATAGCTTGCTGTTCGGTGTGAGCCAAGGCTCCGTGTTGAAGGCCGTACTTTGACCTATAATTGTTTACTTTTTACACATTGTGACTTGGATGGATAGTTGCCTAATTGGCACTCATACCACATCTTATTTATATGCAACTAGAGGCTCTAAAGAGCCTGTGTCGCTCACCTAGGTTTATGTGCATCTTCAACAATGGACAATCTCCAAATTTGTGGACTTGAATAGAATTCATGACAAAAAAATCTTTTTTGTTGATCTTGCATTGCTGATAATTTTTTCTGTTTACAGTTTTTCTCTATCTTCTTTAGTTTTTTGCCCAAAACACAAAAAAGGGTAAAAAAATTTGCCATTTAAGAGCAATCACTCCTTTAAAGAGTCTACAAATGATTTTTCGGCAAAATTTAACTTATTTGTAGATCTTGTCTTCCTGATAATTTTTGCTGTTTAAAGTGTTTATCTATCACTTATAGTTTTTTTCAATATAATAGGCAAAAATGTAAAATATTAGTAAAAATCATCACAAAAGAGCAATAACTCCAATAAGTTGATTGACGATTTAGACTATGTTGACTTTTTTGCAAATCTAATCTTGCTCATCATTTTTGCAATTTAAAGTGGCTATCTATCTAAAATAGTTTTCAACATAAGTGGCAGAATACTAAAAATTGGTAAAAATTGTCATTCAAGAGCAATAACTCCAATAAGGAGTGAACTGCAATTTAGGCAATAAGACTTATTTGTAGATCTTGTCTTGCTGATCTATACTATTTTTAGCCATGTCGGCCATGTTGGTTGGCAGGCGGGGTCATCAGACACATTTTTTAAACTAGATACCCTAATGATGATTGTGACAAAGTTTGGTTAAATTTGGCCCAAAAGATTCAGTGGAGAATATTTTAGTAAAAGTTAATAAAATGCTTTGCTGAGCGCAGCCTGATACGACCGCAGAGGTCGAACCCTGAACAGTTGGTACAAATTTGGACACAATATTCAAGCTTGATACTGTCTGAATTTGGATTGTGATCAAATTTTTGACATAATATAGATTTCTGACACAAAATAAATGTGGTCAAAGATCTTACAAATATATTGCCCAATACTGTGCAATTGAAGATTTCTTCTTGAAACTTTTCAAAAAAAATATCCTCTAAACCCCCCCCCCCCCCCCCAACTTTTTGAAACCCCCCTTGGAGCAATAACCCCTAAAATAAATCCCAACCTTCTACTTGTGGTATTAAACATTGTCGTACAATTGCAGAGCAATTGAAATACTTTTACACGTTATTATCCTGAAACTAGAAAAATGCTTGTTTTGGGCCCCTTTTGGGCCCTAATTCCTAAACAATTTGGACCATCATCCCCAAAATTAATCCCAACCTTCCTTTTGTAGTATTGAACCTTCTTAAAAAATTTCATAGAGATCCATTTACTTAAACTAGAAGTTATTGTCCGGAAACCAATGTGTCTTCGGACGATGACGCAGATGACGACGACATCATACCATTATACGATCCCAAAAAAGTTTTTGCGGTCGTATAACAATGGCAGGGGATGGATGCCAAGTGATGAGAAAAGCTCAAGACATTGCTGATATAAACCTATCAAATAAGTTTCATAAAAATCTGGCAAGAACTGTACACATGAGAGCGCTAATGATGCAATTTTCCATATAATCGATTTTTCCAAGGGGCATAACTCTTTTAAAAATAATTGATCGACACTGATTTTCGATCTTGTCCAAGACATTGCTGATATAAAGCTATGATATAAGTTACATAAAAATCTGGCAAAAAATGTGCACGTGAGATTGCTAACAAGACCGGACAGAGGGACGGAGGGACGCCCGGTATTTTAATGTCCCCTGCAACGCGCTGCGAGGGGGGACAAAAAACAAATAACAGACAGACAAAAAGATGTCATAAGCAGTCTGAGAGAAGCATGACCTTGTGTGTAATGCCAAAATATATGTTACAACAGGATGTAGGACCATAAGTGTTAATAACTGAATAACAATGCATGTTTACTTACTGTGGGATCATTTTTATTCATGAGATACCAATTTTGGTGGGTAAAGGTAAATCACAAATTTAAATGTTCAACCAAGTACACACTTTCTAAAGGCTGCAATACAGACTTTGCCTTATCCAAGAATATGCAAGTTTTCCTCAATCAGGGAAAATAGCCAAAAGCTAAGTCCATTTATCAGAAGAATACAGATTTTTTTTTTAATCAAACATTTTCTGCAGATGCTATTTCTTGCTCTTGAAGATGCTTCTGTCCAAGTTTCATAACATTCCACTGAGGCTTGACAAAATTATTGGTGTCTATGAAATTTACTTCCAGACTGTATCTAAATGTTCACTAAAAAAAAAATATCAATTTATCAGTAACAAAATTTATCTCTTAATAAAAAAAAAGTTTCATAAAATTCTATGAAGTTTTGACATAGTTATTGATGTCTAAAAAAACTTTAACCTCAGACTGTATCTAAATATTAACAGCATAAAATAAAACTAAGTTCTTCTATCAGTAACATTTAATGAAAAAGATAATTTCCACATTTTGTTCTGGACACTTTCTTTTGGTCATAAAAAAGCTTCTGTCCATGTTTTATAACATTCCATGAAAGTTTTACAAAGTAATTGATGTTTAAAAACCTTTAAAAAACAAACTGAATCTACATGTTGACTCTGCTAATGACAGAATGAAGATCACTATGTCTTGCTTCCACAACAAAATGTTGTAGGCTCTACATAAATCAATGTAAGTACCAAAAAAGACAATATCTAACTACAATTTTGAATTGATGACCTGTAAGAATAAGTTTATTCAAAGGACCAATAAATATAAATAAGAAGATGTGGTATGAGTGCCAATGAGACAACTCTCCATCCAAGTCACAATGTAAAAAAAGTTAACAATTATAGGTCAAAGTATGGCCTTCAACACAGAGCCTTGGCTCACACCAAACAGCAAGCTATAAAGGGCTAATAAGTCTATATGGACCCTATCTTAATTTACAAGCTCTATAAATAATATCATAATAAAATTTAAGATGAGAATAGCTGTTTTTAATAAGATTTCTACAGGTAAGGCCAAACTTTTAAAATCCACTTTTTGTATCTATGAAGTTTTAAAGTAATTTGTAGTAACAAAACCATGCCTTAACAATTTATCAGTCGTGTAAGTTATACATGTACATGGATTATGTTTATTAAATTCTAAAACCTCACTACAGACAAGGGAATTTAGTGAACAAGTTGGGAAAATACACAACATAAGAAGGGGCCAATGTTATATCACCTTGGAAAAAGAAAATTTACAATAGGGAACAAAAACTTTTTCTCTTTGTGTCACTTAAAATCAATGTTCAACATATATTATACTGTAGCTAGAGTAGTCTTTAATCAATGATAATGATAAATAATGAATATTTGCACATTCAATTCTTTTGATAGAAATTTGTTGCTTTATATATAGCAAACTTAGATACTGCTTTTCTGAAAATGTTAGTTATATAATTTCCAAAATCAAGGATGTCATGAAACAACAAAATTTTTACAATTTCATATGAACTGTTTGATCATGCTTTAATGCAAAAAATGTCAAGTAAATAATTAACAGTTTGTATAACCAACTGGCAAATAGCAGGAGAATAACATAGAAGTGGAATGGTAAAGTATAAATGTTCAACTCAGAAAAATTCATCATTTTAAGCAGTTTTCAGATCTTCATACATGTTCCTCGACACAATCATCTTCTTCTATTTTCAATGAAGGAACAGTTATAATTTGAGTATCATCTGTAACGTCTTGTGGCAATAACTGTGTTTGATCTGTACTGTCTTCGTTAACACCTTGCAGCGATTGTTCAGCAGCCAGTAGTAAGTTTGCTAATTCCTGAGGTAAAATTGTGGGATCACCATTAGCAGACTGTTCAATGACATAATGTATTGTATCAGCTCCTTTAGATACTTCAAAGAATAATGACTGTGCTGCATTTTCTTCAGACAGAATTTGGTTTTCTTTTATTTCAACATTAACAATATTGCCAACTTCTTCCGTCTACAAAATAAAATACATGTTACAGCAATACCAATGTGTACTTAATGTATAAAAGTTTTTTTCTCTTACAAACCCAAATAAATTACGTGTATATATTTTGGTAAAGTAGTGATAAACATTTCTATCACATACTGTATGTGTATATCTCTGTATCTGATGAGCCACCAAAGCATAAATATACATTTAGAAAAGAGTAACCTACTTTTCTTGGTGGAAAAATGTACTCCCCTTGATGCATCCATATATATATACCATTATGTGATATAAGGTCACTTTATATTACAAGTATCTGTGCTCTTTTTGAAATCAATTGTTACATGTAAAAGGTTCTATGATTGTAAGTGACTTGCACATAGTATATGAGATCTGAACTTACACACTATAAAATTACATGTACTATAATAGGTCAATGAAGCATAAAATGTAGGTCAGAATGACCTATTTTTTGTGAGAGGCTGCTATACTGCAAAAAACCTGTGCTTATCCTATAGATTTGACATGCTTTTTCTTTTCTTTCATCATAATAAGTAAACCTGTTATTTGTTGGAAAATCAGTCAAGATTTGAAATTCAATATTTCAGAGAAATCGAAGATTTATTTCATTTACTAAGGCCCATTGTGGACAGATGAAAATGACAAAATCCATGTGAAGTATGGTGTACAATCAAAATCTTAATGTTTTTGTTAATTAGAGAATTTCGTGTTGATGGCCATATGATGACCTTAAGATGGCTTTTGTTGCTATGTCATTTACATTTATCTCACATCTCCTTTTATCATATTTACACCAAGTTGTATGATCATAGGTACTCAGTATCTGAGCTCTGAACAAGTGAACTTAGTTGTAATCGTACTTTAAGTAATTTATTCTATAAAATCCATGGAACAGTTTTTTCAAGATGAATCAGCTGTAGACCATATAATATGGCTGTAAATCTATTTGTGTCTGATGAAAGACCAATGTATGAAATTTTGTGAGTGGTTGAATCTGTCCACTTATACATGTATGAGATTTTTGGCGAACATGTTCATTTAGAATTTGGTTTTGGTTTTGGCGTCAGATCATTGATTTTATCTGTTAACAGCTTGCCATAATAGAAACGTATAGAAATCTTTCTTTGGTAAACTTGTGTTATGTTGCTACATGTATCTTTATACAGAAAAAACTAACATTCCTTTCTGCTCATACATATACATGATATACATGATACATTTGAGATAATTATGTTGTGAAGTTTGAATACTATTTTAATTATAAATACCTTCTCAATAACAACAGGTTGAGGTAAATTAAATGATTCTACTTCCAAGTCTTTCTTTTGTCCATTGATATCAATGGTTACCATCTGAAACCTGTTTTTCTCCTCCTCCTGAGTTTCATTGGCAGGCAATATTTCATTATGTGCCATCAGCAGATGGTTGCTAAGAAAAGATTTCTCTAAAAACCCTTGGTTACAGTGTGTACACATGTATGGAAAGTCTTCTCCATGAGCAGAATGCATATGTTCAACCATTTTAGTCTTATAACAGAAACTCAAACTACAGTGTGAACAATAAAACAAGTCCTCTTCTGTTTTTCCATATTTGAAATGTCTTATGTTTGTCTTTAAAGCATCACAGTCTACTACCGCATGTTCTTTCATCATATGCAGGCGATACAATTTTGACCGTTTAAAGCCAACATTACAATCAATACAACGATAAGGAAAGATATTAAAGTGGACTTGTTGTACATGTGTCACCATGGCAGACTTCATATTAAAACCTTTACCGCAGTATGAACAGTGAAAGTTTTCTTCATGTGGACCATGTATAATTTTAACATGTCTTTGTAAGTTGTGTTCATACCAGAAACCTCTTCCACAATGCTTGCAACATAATCTTTTTGATTGGTCAACTCCATGTATACGCATGTGACGATTTAACAGATTTTGACGTGGGAATTTCTTTCCGCAATGTTTACAAACTGCCTTCATTTTCCCTTCGTGGATTTCCTCTATGTGTTGTTTTAGTGTTGTTGACCACTTAAATTTAGCTGCACAAAGATGGCAAGCAAATGGCTGACCTATTACACTGTGTACAGCTTTAATATGATTTTTCAAACTTTGCACATTTTTGTAGATTTTTTCACACTTAAAACATTTGACTGAAGCATTTTCTAAATGTGTTCTCTTTTCATGTTCAATTAAGTGATATCTATTATTAAAGGTTTTATTGCATATTTCACACTTCTCTATTCGTAATTGTTTTAATTCATCCATGTAGCTTTGAACATCAAGTTCTTTCATATGGTATTTTCTAACATGTTCTTCAACCCCAATATAATGATAGAAAAGTTTGTTACAATATTTGCATCCTTTGTTTTTTAAAAACCGAGTTTTTGGTTTATATTTTGGAATATTTACATCACCAATATCAATTTTATTTCTTTTTCTCTGCCTATTCTTGTTAACTAGAGAACCAAATTTCCTTTTTATATTTACAGGTTCAAACTCCTCATCTTCAGATATATATCCAACAAAATCATTCACTATGTAATCAGCATCCTTATCATCATCAACAACATTTTCATCTTCAACAACATCAGTTTTTTCTGTGTGAATTTCTTCATTATTTGAGCTTACATCAACATTTTCCACTGCCTGACCTGATTGTACCAGATTTTTAGATTCATCTTGGGTGTCACTACATTTGTTAGTGTTTAAAGATTCTTTTTCTTTATATGCTGATCCCATTTCTGCCCTCATTACAGCCTGTGATAATTTAACTCCTCTCAATCCATACCTTTTCGGCTCATTGTCTATCCCGGATTTATGTGAGACTTCAGCGTTCAAAGTTGTTTTGTCATTTTCAAGTGATTTACCCAATGGTAAATTTTTTGTGGTTCCTTTTGGCCGACCTCTTTTTCTTTTAGCAGGATCTAGCTGATTAATAATTTCACCATTAACATTTTGTTCAGGTTGTTCTGTTTTTTCCACTTTTGTTTTTTCAGTGCTATCCCAATCCAGGTATTGGGTTGATTCAATGTCTGAAATGGTGCATGACAACTTACATCCTTTCAATGCTATATTTGTGTTCCTTATGTGAACTCTTAATTTGTTTTCACAAATCTGGGTACTAAATTCGCATGAGCTATCACTCTCAAAACAATGACCTTTCCAGTACAGGCTTGTATCCTGAAAAATAAAATAATACTCATCATAGTTTCTTGCTTCAGTATATTTTTTGAAGACTTGAGAATTTTCAATGTCCATCAAACCCAATGAAGTACTAAGTTGACATTTCAGTACTCCCATGATCATCCATATATTATGTTTTAAAGTAGAAAAGACAAACAAGAATTTCAACAGAAACAAAATCCAGTGGTATTTTGATTTTAGATCAACATCATATTTAATCACAAGAAAAAGGTAACCTGAAAATTGATAGTATTAGTAAAACCAGAAGTCCATTACTAGACGAAGTGTGCAAGCTGTACTATATAGTAAGGTGATCACGATGTCCCCCTTATCAGTGGAAAGCCCCATAGGTGGTCCTCCCAAATCTCATTTTATAACTATGGAATCATGGGTAAACATATTATCATCAAACAAATAGCTGTTAATTAGTCTCCTTGAGTGTTTGATTAATTATCAGTCTGTTGTAAATAAAGTGAGCCGACTAAGTGCGATGGTTTCTCATTGCCAGTAATTTAACTTTATTTTAAACATGTTAAATCAACAATTAGAAAATGATATAAAATTTCATAAACGAATACATTGGTACCATTTTTCATCACGAAAAGGCAAATGAGAACTATGAAATCTGCTGTGTCGGACTAAAAATGTATCGTCTATTTAAAAGATATAGTTGTTTTTGTTAAAATATAGTCCTAATTGCCTCTTTTTTTAAATAGAATGTTGTGTTAAAGAATTATGTCTCAGTTATTTACGCCATCAAGGAAGCTATATACGGTGATGTATAAGCAAAAGACGGGTTTTTTCTTCTCTTCTACCGAAATATGTTTGTCAAAAATATCCGACCATTTGTTGCTTCATATGACTTAGAAACTATTTCGAATTTCAAGTCTCTTGTTTTTAGATATTTTAGATTAAGAGACATACTTTTCTCCTGTCTGTCCGTCATTACGTTCACCGTCATAAGATGTATAAACGTGAATCAGTGTTGCAACGTGTCGTTTTATACTCACAAGACATTTGTAGATCATGCGGATTAAAGTTTTGGTGTATCGTGTGTTGATAGTTTAACATTCAGTGGCAAATATATCATGCATATCCCATCAAAGAGTTGTCGCAAGTGTTATTTAACATCAGAGATCGTAACATTCATCCTGAATACGCGAGTTACTGGATTTAAAATCCTCCGCCCCGAGGCGGCTGCTATTAATGTATACATCCTACACTTGTAAGAAAAGGTTCTATTGTTGGTACCAGACAATTCCAGGGATTACTTTATTCATTACGGCCCAGCTTAACCCTTGAGATTGATTTAGTATTTGAAAAAATTAAATCAAATTGTCCTACAGCTAGGTTTTTGAATTAAGTCTTCGTCATATTTCAGTATGAAGTATAATTACATAAAGGATATATATTCATTACTCATTTGTTTACAAAGATCGTGATCGCAACTTTTCCTACAATTTTAAACTCTAAAATTTATATGTCGAACGCACGTGTTGAGAACCGCATTTTTTGCATGTATTTTAACGGATAAATGTAACAATATCTGACTGAACTTGATGATAACCTTTGTTCGTCCACACCATCATCCAAGGTAGTATTACCGTCAAGATCTCAGTTAAGCAGGATCGAAAATATTCAAAATTGAAAAAACGGGATACAATTATTTTCTGCTCTTTTTTCAACATTGACATGATTGAGGGTACAATTTGTTAATTTTACTAAAAATGGTAATATCTGCAAAATTCTCGTGCAACTTAAAAAAAAATCTAATTTCTTTAAATTTGTAAATCGTAACATATATTCTTCAAATAAATATGATAGAATGTTTTTTCCTATTAAACTCATTCCTAAACAGTGTTACTTGTACTGTATATGGATACACAATTTTCCGACCTAATTTTTCCTTGCCAACTTTTTAATTGCAATTTTTCACAATTAACTCTAATTGTATTAAAAAGTGAGCTTTGATATTCCGTCTGACATTTTTTCTACCGTTATAATTATTGTAGTTTTTAAATTGATAAATTATACAAACATTTTTATCATTTAATATTAAAACCATCATAATGACTCATGACACAGATATAATATGGCATCTAGGATCTGCTGTTCATTAACACATCGATGGTCCAACATTATTTTCAATTGCGTGCTAATTAAGTTATAGGGTGTTTTGCATAAATTAACTCTACCCAGAATGCATCGCAAAAAATTTGGCCATTGATTTTTGTTACTATTAATAGCAATCTTGCTCAAATCCTGTTTCAATCACAGTTGGAAGTACGGGAACAACGTGATCGCCTTACTATATAGCGGGTTGCACACTTCGTCTAGTAATGGACTTCTGGTAAAACTGACACCCGAAGAAAGTTCTGTATTTAAGAAGATCTTTTTGACTTAAGTTGTGAGTGAAATGCATAATATTTTGTAAACTGAGAAAGGCAATAAGACAGAAATGTTCTGAGAAAAAAGCAGTTTTGTAAACTGTGCTATACGCATACCTGCCAACCCTCCTGTTTTGAGCGGGAGACTCCCGCTCAAATGGCGAAATTCGGGAAATCTCCCGCTTGCCGGTACCCTCCCGCTTTTGGATATTTCAACCTTGAATGACAAGTCAACATTAATTGCGTTTTTGTGTCACTGATGAGGGTTGTTTTTACCTGTAAATCACAGACCATGTGAAATTAAATGGCTTCACTTGACAGCTTGGGTGTCAAACATAGTACTTATTAACAATCATTAACGACTTTTGCTTCAAGCTTTGTGTTATTAAAAACATTTCAAAGAAATTTCAGGATTACTTTCCCTGTTTAATCCTGTTTTAAGTTACCCTTCTTAAAACAATGTGAATTGATAAAACAATATAAAACTAAATACAAATTAAACAAAGAATCATAAAAGGATGGCAATTAAAAGATTTTGTATGCCTTAGGGAGCTACCATTTGATTTTTATGAGGGTGCTAGATTGAAATTTGAAAAAAATAGGCAGGACAGGAGTTTTAAGTAAAAAAAAAGGCAGGATGAGACACTTGCAAAAAAAAAAAGTCAGGACGACAATTTAGGTAAATAAAAGTCAGGATAAACTAAAAAAAAAAAGGCAGGACCTAATAGAGTGAACAATAAAAAGGCAGGACAGAGATTACAGCTAAAAAAAAATGCAGGACAAAATTTTTCATCCTAGCCCCCCCATAAAAATCAAATGGTTAAGACAAAAAAAATAATTATATATTTTAAAAAATCACTTCAAAGATCTATACTTCTATTCATTGTTTATATTGAAATTTATATGGTATGTATTGAACCATATTCAGAGAACTTTGTAAGAGCACACACATAATGCACAATCTGTGACAACATGATTGCTCTCTTTTAACAGAGGAATGTGGGGTGAAATGTTGTCCTGATGGAATTCAAATGTCAAAGAAGATGAAATAGGAAAGAAACAAACAACACACCTTCTGTAGGATATAACCATATTAAAAGAAACAAAGTATATCTATTAACTCTTATATGTGTTTCATAGATGAATAAATAAACACGTCATATATTTCACTTGAAAATGTCGTTTGTGCAAAATCTCCCCCTCAGCTGTCATAGCTGAGAGGGAGATCTCCCTCTCTGAAGGTTTCAGAGGTTGGCAGGTATGGCTATACGATTGTTTTCCTTATTTTGGGTTTCGACCGAGAAGGCAATGCCATAGGGTATTTTTAACTACATGTATGTGTACAACTGATTATTTTCAGATATATTTTAATGCCATTTGATCACATCTGTCATCCTAAACAAACAATGTTGAAGGTGGAGTTTTAATACACCTTTCCACTATCTACTGGTATGCCCCGCCCCCCTTAGCAACACATGGCAACCCAGAATCATAGGTCAAGCTAATCAACAAAATGGCGGTTATTATGAACATTGAATAATAACAAAGTAAAGAATTTGTTATAACAAATATAAATAAGAGCAATATTTTGTTCATATATTTGTTTTTGTGTTAAAGTATGATGAGATAGTTACTTCTGAAGGGTTGAGAGATAAATTTATGACATTTTGAAGACAGGAATCTTTGCACATTGTACTGACCCTTTTTTTCAAATTAAGAAAATAGAATGTATCCAATAGTTCTCACGTCTTTTCCTTTTTTGTAATTTATACAAAAAAATTGAAAAAGGTCAAGTACAATCAGCAAATACTCCCACAGTAGACCGAGTCATATCAAAATTAAACATTATCTTACTTTTTATGAAGCATCTATTGAAATATATTTTTTTATTATTATTTGAGTTTCCCCACTGTCTTTTAACGAAATGCTAGTGATGAGGGCAGTACAAACAAATACTTTCATTTTTATATATATAATTTGTACACAAAAAGATTACAAATATCTAATTCACTTCTGAATCATCATTTCATTCCATAGATATAAGAAGATGTGGTATGAGTGCCAATTAGACAACTCTCCATCCAAATCACAATCCGTAAAAGTAAACCCTTATAGGTCAAAGTATACGGCCTTCAACACGGAGCCTTGGCTCACACCGAACAGCAAGCTATAAAGGGCCCCAAAAATGACTAGTGTTAAACCATTCAAACAGGAAAACCAACGGTCTAATCTATATAAACAAGAGTGCACACGCTGAAATGTCTCGCCTTCTTTACTAATCATTGATATTATGTTGATAGTCCTAAATATAAAGCTTTATTACAACTGTCACATAAACTTAACATTAACCAAGTAAACTAAACATTGACCAATGAACCATGAAAATGAGGTCAAGGTCAGATGAACCATGCTAGGCAGGCATGTACAGCTAACAATTCTTCCATACAACAAATATAGTTGACCTATTGCTTATAGTTTAAGAAAAACAGACGAAAACACAAAAACTTAACACTGAGCAATGAACCTTGAAAATGAGGTCAAGGTCAAATAAAACCTGCATGACTGACATATAGATCATAAAATATTTCCATACACCAAATATAGTTGAACTATTGCATATAGTATTAGAAAAAAAGACCAAAACTCAAAAACTTAACTTTGACCACTGAACCATGAAAATGAGGTCAAGGTAAGATGACACCTGCCAGCTAGACATGTACACCTTACAATCATTCCATACACCAAATATAGCTGACCTATTGCATGCAGTATTAGAAAGAAAGACCAAAACTCAAAAACTTAACTATAACCACTGAACCATGAAAATGAGGTCAAGGTCAGATGACACCTGCCAGTTGGACATGTACACCTTACAGTCCTTCCATACACCGAATATACTAGACCTATTGCTTATAGTATCTGAGATATGGACTTGACCACGAAAACTTAACCTTGTTCACTGATCCATGAAATGAGGTCGAGGTCAAGTGAAAACTGTCTGACGGGCATGAGGACCTTGCAAGGTACGCACATACCAAATATAGTTATCCTATTACTTATAATAAGAGAGAATTTAACATTACAAAAAATCTGAACTTTTTTTTCAAGTAGTCACTGAACCATGAAAATGAGGTCAAGGACATTGGACATGTGACTGACGGAAACTTCGTAACATGAGGCATCCATATACAAAGTATGAAGCATCCAGGTCTTCCATCTTCTAAAATATAAAGCTTTTAAGAAGTTAGCTAACGCCGCCGCCGCCGCCGTAGCCGCCGCCGCCGCCGCCGCCGGATCGCTATCCCTATGTCGAGCTTTCTGCGACAAAAGTCGCAGGCTCGACAAAAACGAGAAACGAGAAACAGACTTTCAGATCAGTAATTTTAATTTCCATCTCATTCCAATGAGGTTGTATAATTTTTCTTCCAGATCAATTTTAAGGTGGTATAACCAAGGAATTGTATATTTAAATATACAATTCCTTGGTATAACTTACACTATACCTCTAAAATAATTTGATTGTCAAAGAACATGGAATAGTTCTTGTACAAATATTATAATGGAAAATGGAAATACTATTTTGTAAATTTGTCCATCCAAAAGATGATATCCTGAAGTTTTCAATTTAAACTGCTTCCAAGTACAAATATTTTAACATTTGCGGCCCGTTATGTATGTAACAACTACCACAACACCAGTAGTGTTACATCCATGTTAAACAATCTCCAATGGCCTTCACTTGCTGAGCGCCGCCTCAAAACCAGACTAATTATGTTCTACAAAGTCATCCATGGACTCATTGCAATTCCATCGCTAGTCCTTATACCAGCAGATACTAGAACAAGAAAATTACACACCCAATCATTTCGGTAAATATTCACCTCAAAAGACAGTTACAAATGGTCATTTTTTCCACAAACAATAATCCAATGGAACATGTTACCACAAGTTGTGGTAGCATGTCAAACAATTGAAACCTTTAGAGATCAGTTGACACCTACTGTTCTCCACAACATAAATTAACTCTATAAATACCAATGTACATAATTTTAATCACTTGTTGTCTCTATTTCATGTAAATATCACCATTCAAGTATTCTACAAATTTAAAAATAAATTTTTGTTCAACTATATTTTTAATCACATACTACGCGCATGCAACAGTTCGTAATCTTCAATATAAATGAAGCTGAAACTGTATATCAGAAGAAGAGAAGAAGAAGAATAAGTTATAGATAATTCTTTGTAATTGAAATGGGAACAGGGTCAATTCTTTTATTGCTGAATCTTTACTATATGATATATAATGTAATGTCCAGAAATTATACATGTACATACTAACTTGCATGTTTTATAGTATAAATCCTTTAAATTAATGAAAAAAATATCAATTTCAACTCAATTAGTACACCAATTCAAATCTCATGTTTCAGAATATATTTTTTTTGTCATTTTTCAAAATAGCATGTAAACAATATTTTAAAAACAATTAGCACTGTCATCCTATTCCCTTTTAATTGATTTATTAATAACTGTCATTCATTAAAAAATCTTTTTTTTTTTTGTTTCAAGTTGTCAGCTTAACCTTCCTCTACCCTCTTACATTGATTCCTTTCCCAAAAACAAAATTCTGGACGATTTAATTGTGAAATTTAAAGAAATGTTAGATCAAATTAACTGTTTAGATAAGAATGTTTGACCGAGGTTATGGCCGACAACACGTGCTGCTATCAAATGTTTATACATGTGGTAAATTTACCACATGTGATTGGTCAATTTACTGATGATTGATAGGAGAGTGGAAAGGTGTATTTGAAACCTAACCTTTCATGCCAACCTTAATTGACCAAACAATCAAACTTTTTACTTATATAATATACAGTGGAACAGCTCAGTCTCATCTAGTTATAGCAAACTTTTTTCATGAGATTACTTCTGTCAATTAACAGATGTTTATATTATGTATTTCTGTAAAATTTTAAATAATTTAGCATCTTGACCATGTTAATCATTTACCAGTACTAAACAACATGTATTGACCAACTCAATACACAGCTTGGCCTACATTGTTGTAAATAGTATTTTCGATGTTTGATATACATGTATATACATATAGGAAATCTAAAGCATTTGTCAAATTTTAATAGCAAACACAATGTCTTACATGATCAATTAACTTCAGATTTCAGTATATGATAAGAATAACATGAATAACAAGGCGACTTGGTATCTTCGTTTAAAAAAATAATGGTATCTGGTCCGTTCGCCCTAACTACATGTTCGCCCTGGGTTCGTTCGCCCTGATAGTCCGTTCGCCCTGGGTTCGTTCGCCCTATTTTTATTTAGAATATGTATATGTTACATTTATGAACGAAAATAAATATTTATTAAAATTTATATATATTTACCCCAATTTATGTATATCTATCAAAAGTTAAATACAGAATATTTTTTAATTCATCGTATATATAGATATAAGAAGATGTGGTATGAGTGCCAATGAGACAACTCTCCATCCAAGTCAAAATTTATAAAAGTAAACCATTATAGGTCAAAGTACGGTCTTCAACACGGATATACTGTATATCTTTACTTTTGCGCAATTATGTATTTTATTTCATATTATTAATTTTCTTTAATTTTTCAGGTTGGCACAACAGGATCAACACTGCAGCCAAGCACGCAGGTGTTCCGTTCTACGTCCTAGTTCCAGATCTTATGACAGAAGCCGAAGTCGTCGACTACAGTGTCCGTGCCAACGACCTAGAGCGGGACATTCATAGGAAGTATACCATCCTTGAAGAGAAGATTCAGACACACTTTAACATATTCAAATATAAACACACAATGCAACATATATATAATAAAATAAAAATCAGGGCGAACAGGTATTAGGGGGAACGGACTCAGGGCGAACAGGTATTAGGGCGAACTGGTACTAGGGTGAACGGACCCGGATTCCCTCATAATTAAGGACTTAGTACACCTTCACAGGTAACACCTGCCTCCTATTATTAAGCGGTAACAAGACATTTCGGCACCCAGACAAATCGGCACCCAGGTCCGAAGACATTTCGGCATCCGTTTTGGACATTTCGGGATCAGGACATTTTGGGACCAAGACAATTCGGCACCTCATTTTTTTTCTATATATATATATTAAGAAAAATAAAAGAATTGTTACAGAAATATTAAAATCCGTAAATAAAATATGCATTACAAAATTTGAAAAAATAATCATCTTTTTTTTTAATTAAATCCTAAACGATGGTGTTTGAATAAACATCATTAAATTTTAATTAAATCCTCAGGCTAATTGATTGTTAAATATGATGGTGTTTGAATAAACATCTTTTAATTAAATCATAATTAATTGTAGTTATGCATTAATCAGTATTTTATGCAAGTTTATAATGTAATTTGATAATTTTTCAATGGAGATCAAAAGTGTATAGACTGTGGGACCAGTATTGTAGCAACAGCATCTCCACCTCCAGACTGCTTAAGGAATGTGCCAGTGTGTACGGACCACCACCAAAGTGACTTTGTTAAAACTTATAGTGCTGCCTGCATATACGTTATATGTTATATTTATAGTATTTAAAATGTTTCATTACTATCAGGTGTTCACCTTTGATGTAAATCTAGTGCTGTTAACGTGTCTATAAACTGTTATGAATATAATTATAATAAATAAAATAAATATTATAAATATGCTACATGTGTTTTATTGATTTAGAATACTATCGGAATAGAACTATGCATTACATTAAAACTAGTACATGAATGGTGAAATCTATGAAATCAATTTTCATGCACATGGAAAAAGAATACACACAAATAAGACAGCTACCCAAATGACTAAGTTGCAATACAGTCTTCACAAATAAACAACAAAAAGAATAAACCACTTCATAAGATACTTCATCGAAGATACCATATACAATAATGTCATAAATAGTGCAGGAATCAAATTGGTTATTTGAAGAAACAGTCGAAAATTATTGCTATATTAACACTAAACTTGCAAGTTGAGGTCATGCCCACATACGGTTAAAGAGCTCATGTTCCTTGTTATTATGTATATATGCAACCCGACTTTAAATAAAGATTACTTTACATACATATATCAGTCCCAGGTAATTTTGATTTTTTAGTTCATTATATTTTGATGAAGGATTTAATAATTGATTTTATCTTTATGAGGTGCCGATTTGTCTGGGTGCCGAAGTGTCTTTCTCGGGTGCCGATTTGTCTGGGTGCCAATCGGTCTAGAATTCTTATTAGGCGCCAGTTGAATTATCAAAAGGTCTGTAGGTTTTTTTAAAGGACAGCTTTCCTAATGGAAATTGCGCCCTATATGTTCCTACTGAGACATAGTAGTCTCAGGTTCCTATTATCAAATGCCGAAATGACTTTAAATATGTGCCTATTTGACTAGATGCCGATTGAACCATTTGCCGATTTGACTTTTTCTATATTAGTCTATAGACGTATAGTATATGAGTATATGTGCCGAATTGACCAGGTGCAATACAATGTAAGCTACTCTCAATTTCTTACATCTTGGTGTTCATTCTTTGACGTTATCTCTTTAAGAACAGAAAAGGGAACATTTAACTCAATTGAATTGACAAAACATCTCCCTCTTTTCATGTTTTCTTGCAATAATTTCGTCTGTATTTACATGGTTATTTGGTGAAGTGTTGATAAGATGTAACTAGTAAGAATTGAAAACTTTGGTTTTTCAATTTGTCTGTAACAAAAGATGGATGATTTTCAATTTTGAAAACAAATTAATGAACTGTACTAATATACAAAAATAAAAAGTAACAAATAAATGCAAAGTGTTTATTTAATGTGGACCGAAATATGTTTGAATAGATCAACACTTTACTCTGTTGCACGAATTTTCCCCAGAAATTGGTCGCTCAAGTCGCCGGTTTACGATATTTAATGACATTACTTTTCTTTTGAAATGTTTAATTAAGAAAGTTTCTTGATGCTTTATATTTTATTTTTACATCCTGCATTCAAACATAGTTCAGTTTTTAAGCCAAATTGTCTATTTCTGTAATTGTTTCCCTTCTTTGTGTATCATATTTTAACGACATAACACGTTTTAAGAGCAGACTGCAAATCCTGTAAACTGGGAGACAGATTTTCACATCCATTCTGTCAAAGCGATAAAAAGACTAAGACTTGTTCTAAAAAATGACATAGTAAAATGATACTTAATATCTTAAAAGAAAGATATTTAAAACTTTGTGTTGAAACATGATTGTAACAGTTTTTACATTTCGACACCTTTCGGTTTTGTTAACATTTTCCTATTTCTTAAAAACAACGAACAGCAAAACCATATCGGGAACACTTTCAAGCCAGACAGCTATTAACGAATGGGGACAGTATTTAACAACATTTTGCTTTCATGGTAAATGTGAAAAATTATATTTGATGTAGCTTGTTTTTCTGTAGAACACTATTTCCATTCAAAATTACCCTTTTACTATAATCCCTTTTGGGATTCTGTTTCCTGAATAATTTTCTGATTTGGCCACCCATAAATCAGAAAATAACTTCGGACATGGAATCCCCAAAGGAATTAACCTTCTACAAGTTGAGGATAAACGTATTTACACTTTTGCAGTTTTGGTATTTAGCTGAGTTTTGTCTCCGAAATGACCTTAGATCTGCACCGAGTAACCTTCTGACGTCAAGCAACAATCACTTTTTAATCATGACATCAAATTTCTTAAATTGTCATGATTGTGATGTCAAATTTTACGTAATGGCAGACAAATTTGCATACAAGTGTAAATACGTCTATTGATTCTGTATACACCACTGATACAATAAAGCCTTTAACAGTTATTGCAGCCATATTGAATAGGGGCAGATTTTCATAAAGGAGGTGAAAATGCATTGAAAAACAAGAGAAAACATCATTGAAACAGAACAGTTGCTTGGAAACATGCATAGATTTTCCCGTACTTGCTGACTATTTTTCCCTCCATCCATAAAATCTGCCTTCAGTATGGCTGCAATAACCGTGAAGTGGCCTATTATTTTAGCTCATTTGGTAGAGTAGTGGCTTACTGTGGCACTGGTTATAAGTTGGTTGTAGGCTGGTATAGTCATAGCACAGAGTAGTAACTTTGAAAGGAATCTTGTGCTGTTGCAAATTATTACATATAAGACTTTTTTTTTTTTTTTATGCCCTCCTGCAATAACCACCTGGGTGCTGTCATGCCATTCTGTTGGCATCAAGTGCGGGACGTTGTGGGTTCAAACCCTGGCTTGGTCTAACCAAAGACTTGAAAATTGGTATTTGCTGCTTCTCAGCTAGGCATGCAGTATTAAGGAGTAAGAGCAAAGACTGGTTGACTTGGAGTCAGAAAAATGTATCTGGGTAAAATGACATGTCTTCCTGCGAACTGTTACCTTGTGAACAGAACTACATTAAAAATCAAGGTCAGCTTGTCAGTCTTGTTCAAAGTAGGGTTGGTATTCATATCAATAATCACATTTTCATGTTCTTGTCCTAAATATGCATTAAATTTGCAACTGGATGTTAAACAGCCATATATCCATCCATCCATCCTCCTGCTACATGTGCTAGGAATCTATAAACAGCCATATATCCATCCATCCATCCTCCTGCTACATGTGCTAGGAATCTATAAACAGCCATATATCCATCCATCCATCCTCCTGCTACATGTGCTAGGAATCTATAAACAGCCATATATCCGTCCATCCATCCTCCTGCTACATGTGCTAGGTATCTATAAACAGCCATATACCCATCCATCCATCCTCCTGCTACATGTGCTAGGAATCTATAAACAGCCATATATTCTTCCATCCATCCTCCTGCTACATGTGCTACAGTAGGAATCTATAAACAGTCATATACCCGTCCATCCATCCTCCTGCTACATGTGCTAGGAATCTATAAACAGCCATATATCCGTCCATCCATCCTCCTGCTACATGTGCTAGGAATCTATAAACAGCCATATATCCATCCATCCATCCACCTGCTACATGTGCTAGGAATCTATAAACAGCCATATATCCATCCATCCATCCTCCTGCTACATGTGCTAGGAATCTATAAACAGCCATATATCCATCCATCCATCCTCCTGCTACATGTGCTAGGAATCTATAAACAGCCATATATCCATCCATCCATCCTCCTGCTACATGTGCTAGGAATCTATAAACAGCCATATATCCGTCCATCCATCCTCCTGCTACATGTGCTAGGAATCTATAAACAGCCATATATCCGTCCATCCATCCTCCTGCTACATGTACTAGGAATCTATAAAAAGCAATATATCCATCCATCCATCCATCCTCCTGCTACATGTTCTAGGAACATAAAAAAAAATTGATCCCTAGTAACATCATGATTACCTGGTCTAATTGAATGTTGTCTATGGTTACTCATTATCTATGACATTATACAAATTAGACCATAGTTGGAGACTACTGTCACAGTCTGTGCAAAATAAAGTTACATGTACAAATGTATACTGACTAGTACATTTAAATCTAGACCTAAATACAAAAGTTAGAAGATGTGGTATGATTGACAATGAGACAACTCTCCATCAGAAACCAAATAAAACAACGAAGCTCATTTCAAGTTATTACATTTTGTATATATCTGTTTTTCTTACTAATTTTATGAATACATTTGTATATCTGTTTTTCTTAATAATTTTATGAAAATATTCACTAGCCTGAATCAATGTCTACTACTCACAGACTTTAGGGCTAATGGTTTTTGGAACAGGCTGCTGTGTGTCCCAGTTTCACAAAGAAGTAAATGTCTATGAAAAGTTTAACATGAATACATATGTCAAGCTCTAAATCACCATGATCTAATATGATACGAATGAATTAAACATAGAATATAATAGGTCGGCCTTCAACACTAAAACTCTTAAAGGAAAATTCAATTGTTTTCCAATCCTAATAAAACTGTCATATTGTAATGTTTATGTTATTATTTTCGCAATAAAATATTGTTTACACTAACACTCTCCAAATACATGACGATGATGTAACAATAAAACAATAGAAAGAATGAAATGAGACATTCACTGACAAGATACCTGATTTTGAAGAGGTACATTAAAAAACGATTAACAAACGGCAGGGTTACATTGTGAACTAACTTTTGTGATCTCAACTGCCACTTTTTAAATCTCAATCAATTAGACTAACAAAAGGTACATTAAATAGTATTTATATCTTGACTACCATGCATTTCTATTCAAAGTTTTATTGACATTAATATTTTATAACAGGTCAAGCTTTATTGAACTACACCTTGAATGATACAGGTCATTCCTCACCAAAGTTTGTTTTGTTTTTAAATGATGATTGGAGTGATGCATTACAAGAAGAAGGATGTGAAAATAAATTTGAATTAGCCAGGGCAGTATGTAGGTATTATTTTAAATGTGGTAATTTAGGTTAAACTTTTATTAATTTTATATTTTTTATCATAACAAAAGTTATCAGATTATGTAAATATACAAATAAGAGGATGTGATATTATTGCGAATGAATGAACTATCCACCAAAGACCAAATGATCTAGAAGTTAACAACTGAAGGTCACCTCACGTATGTAAGCTTTATTTGACAAATAACAGTAATAACTTTTAAAATTTACTCATGCTTCACATTTAATTATGTTATATGGTGCCACGATATCTTAGTAGCATGAGTTCGAATCCCGGCCAGGGAAGAACAAAAAATTTGCTTCCCCAAATTTACAGATCTAACATTTTTAGGCTGTTGTTTAGACGAATTATAATATATATATATATATACATCACTGAAGAGACATTAATTGTCGAAATCCGGATATGGTGTACTAAAAATTTTTTCACCTTTTGTTTGCGGTATACCATCTTTTCTGCAATTTTATTGTTTTCTGTTTGGTATTAAATTATAAAGATCCAGTTGTTACATCTTGTGATCCGTTTATTTGGCAATTGCCAATGGCAGTCAGCAGGGTTTAAGAAAATTTGTTGTTCGACCTGTTAGTCAAATGCGTTTTGTTAAAATATACTTTTTCACTTTTTTGGTCTTTTGGAAAATGTTGTTTGTGCTGTATTTAGACCCCTCTACCAAGAAATTTATTTTGCATGCACACATATAAAAATTGCGGTTTTTATCCAACGCAATCATAGGTTTGAACGTTGTTTTCAATTTAGACTTGTATATATATATATATATATATGTTATGAGTTATGCATACAAAGCATTGAGTTACAGGAGGTACAAAGAGATAAATTTCAAATATGTCGTTGCAAAAGTAATGTGATACATGTAACAATAATGTCAATAAAATTTCAATTGGAAATCAAAAACTAATGTTAGCACCTTTCTCAAATATTAAATATTTGATGTGAGAATATCTCTTTAATCTACCATTTTAGTAAACATTAATGTATAAAGTTGACTTACAGATCAACCTTTTGTTGCTTTCCTGTTGACCCAATTTTCCAGGGTTATGGCCCTTGGACTTTATGCCAGTTGGTCACCTTATCATGAGGCTGCAGGCAGGAGCATTCTTGTCTAATCAATATATTTTGTTTGCTGGAAATTTCATAAATATCTGACCAAATTATATTTACAAATTTTTGTTGTTGAAAAAATACAATTTTATATGGAAAACATACCGAACAAGCATCATCTTTTTTCTAATCATGCACATGGCTATGGCATATAAATTTTAATGATTTTACTTTGTAATGAACAGATCAAATAAAGAACAGAACTGGTAACTTTACAGTAAGTTACATAGATAAACCACACCTTTACCATGTGTTATATGTGGACGATAACACATGTGGAGATGACAGTCGAGAGATCAAATCTAACTACATACATTATACAATACAGTTACTCAACCCTGACTCCCTAGGAAACCCTACAGAACATTTTGGAGATGATGAAACAGGTAAATACTAAAGATATCACTAGAATGTGACTTGAGATATAGGTCAATGAAACAGCATTCTAACAACACAAAAAATATAAAGACATGAAGAGGTCAACATATAATCTATATATATATATATAGATGTCATACATTTCTACAGTGATATCTATTAACAAAGCATGAACTGAGTGCTTTATTTCACTTTTTTATCTTATTTTATCATGTTTGATTTTACTAACCAGCAAATATCTACTGAATTCAAATTTGAACATATTACTATAAATTTCTTTTTCAGGACTTCTAAGATTTTACCAGCTATTGACTTTAGCGTATTTTGTATTGGGATGTATATTTGCTCCACGACTGTATGAAACGTTAAGTAAAGGAGGACCTATGCAGCTAGTCATACAATTACTAACAGTGTCTACCTGTCTTCAGGCATTAGGCAGCTTTATCATGATGATTCATTTACAAAGGTTTGTTCTTTATATATTTCTGTTTATATTTAGAAAAAGATTTATTCTGGTTTTGACTAAAGAAATTATGATCTTTTTGTGTGACTGCTTTGCCTATTTAAAAAAATAAAAAAAGATGTGATATGGTTGCCAATGAGACAACTCTCCACCAGATATCAAATGAAAAAGAAGCTAGTAACTATTGGTCACCGTACTGCCTTCAACAATGAGAAAAACCCATACCACATAGCAGGCTATAAAAGATTCTGAATGACAAATGTAAAACAATTCAAGTGAGAAAACTTTATGTAGATTTGAATTACAGGGGGGGGGGCTCTTTTCACTTTTCACAAAAAATATTAAGAGTAAGTTAAACTGAAATGTACATGACTTACAAGTATTTTTACTCGTAAGATTTTTTGTGAAAAGAACACCAGGCTTCTGACTTGGAACAGGCACATACAGAATGTGGCGAGGTTAAACATGTTTGTTGGCGTGCCAGCTTACAGTCATGGAACAGCACAACATAAGAACAAAAGATTTGTTTTTTTATTAAATGCTGCATTTTTGTGCCTATTTTATTGACATAAAAGATCTAGAGAAAACTTCTGACAATATGTAATTAAGTAACTACATGTAGATAGTTCTTATAGCTATTCAGTGATATGCATGCAGGCATGGGAATTAACAATTTGGAGGTAGCTATGGAGAACTGATATGTTGTAAGGTTCAAATTTTTCAAGCTTTTGTTTAACAATAGGTTTAGCACATGTATTGTTCACTTAAACATTGATGATTTGTACTGAATCTTATTTGTTCAGTTTTATCTTTTATTCTATAACTCACATCCTTTATATTGACAAGAAGGTCAATTGAATGACCTCTATATAGACTAGAAGATCATGTGACCTGTTAAAAGTCAGATCGGTTTGTTGATTTTTAACCATCTCTAAATATGAAGAGGTAAAACTGGTACACTTTATTTCTTCTCTCACCCACGGAGGCTGTAAAGTATCAAAATGGTAGATCTACATGTATGATGAATATTCTAAAAAAAACTTATGCTTCAATGTGAAGTCAAATATAAATGATAATACAAGATATATATTTTATTTCATTTTATTTTAGGTATTCAAAAGATGGAATGGGTTCATCATTTGTAGAATTAATAGCTGAATGTAAGTTTAAAATAAAGAAAAAATGTTTTCGCAATGTTTCATTGTTTCATTTTTTATATTGAAAAATTAAGAAAATTAAGAAAACTTACCCTGAAATTTTCTATAAAGTTGAATGATATATTTAAGGGTATTTAATACAGTTTGACATTGTAAAGTGAGTTTATGTGGTTTTGAGGTAAGTTGTAGAAAAAGATGACCACTCTGCAAAATCTTAAAAATAAAGCACAGCTTTTCATGTAAATTTAGGCTCAAACTTAGGATTTGTTGTAACTTTTTGAAAAATTTCTGAGAAGTTTGAAATTTTTTAAACTAGTATTTAAGGTGAAGAAATAAACTCACTTTTAAAAGAACCCTAAAAGTGTCCCAAATTGTGTCCACATTTTTTGCAAAATAAAATCTTAATAAAGGCATGAAAAGTTGTTATGATATTCCATATCATAGGTGGATCCAGGGGGGCCCCCCTTTTGTGGGAAAAATTTGGTTGATTATATAGGGAATCACTGAAGCATGACTGTAGCGGCCCCCCCCCCCCCCCCCCCTTATAAAAAGTTCTGGATCCGCCACTGTATATATATGGAGTGTAATTATTGACAACATACACAAAATACTAATATTTCTCTTCTCCTTTATTTGTAAATGGCAGAACATTTTTGTAACTTACCTGATAAGTATTTATCCGTTCATTTTGTTAACATGTAGAGATCCATATCATGTACATTGTACTGATAAATATGTTTTATAAAAAAAAGAACAAAAAGACAGCTCTGCACAGGCAGCAGAATGGAGGAGATATACTGTAGGGAAGTCAAAGGTATTGAAAAGCCAGATAAAGTAAAATACATGAAAAAAAATGCTTAAATTACAGCCTTTGTTATAGTAAAAACTGTTTAATAATGTTCCCACTATTAGTAGAAAGTCCTGAAAGGTTTTGATGGGTACACTTATAAAATCTTCTGCCACCTGTTGCATAGGCAACACTAAAAAACTTCAAATGAACAAAAGTACTGGTTATGGATGTACCTATGAATTTTTGGCAATGATAAAAAAACATGCAGAAACAAGATGTATAATGTGATGTTCATAACAAAAGTATATAGGTAGAACCAGAAAAAATCACTAAAACTTGAATTTAATTGTATAAATATTTTGATTTACCACTTCGGTATTATATTTTTTTCAGTTTTTGATGTATTGTCTCAGTTTGCTATGTTGTACATGTTACTCAGTCTAAGTCTTGGATGGACTTTAGGAACAAGTTATAAAGCAGTATCACATTTACATATAATCAGTAAAAAACCTGCAGCACGAGTTGTAGGTGTCTTAGCTGTAATACAGGTATGTAATATTTAACAAGTTATATATATTTGCAATCATACCACATCTTATTTTTACATCTAAGGATCTCTCATTATGCCATCCCTTACAAGAATTAAATTTAATTGAGCCTATTAAATACTTGTATTGTGTCTACACATTTTGCAATCTTTGGAATGGCAGAACAAAGTCCATTTTTTTTTATTACATCTCTAAAGTATAATACATACTGAAATAGCTTTGTACGGTGATATATGTTTTTTCATGGAAGACTTACATTTTGATTTTGAAAATATGACCTCTGTTTCAACAACTATTGTGATATTATCAACATACTGTAATTACCATTATGTAATATTTCCTTGTAGGCAATACTATTTATATGGGAACAAATAGAAGATACAGATCACAGAATGTATCATGCTCATCGTAGTTATGCTGGTTTAGCACTTGTAGTTCTTCGTATTTTATTAGCTGCCTTATTTGCCTGGAATCTCAATGTGACGGTCTCAGCAGAAAGAAGTGCTTTACGTCGGGAATTTTATAAGTCTTTCACTAAAGTAGGTACTAGTTGGTCATATTTTGTTGATAAAAGTGATGAAATTAATATAACATATATGTACTACTATACTTTATTTGAATGGCATTATGTTCTCAATTATACCTTATTGGTTCTGCTTGCTTTAAAATCTCAAGGAAACACTAGTTAATTTTAATTCTCTTCAATTGTATTGTTATGGTGTGATTGGACACTCCATTGTTAAAGAAGACCATATACATGTAACAAACAAAATTCATAGTTTTACTTGGTTTCAATTTGTTCTTGGTTGTAACCTTAACTTATAACATTTACACACTACAGCCATGTTTTACACAGTTTAACAGAAACTTTCATGCAGTTCTATAATGGTGGTTTTGTATATAAATTTTGAAGTCATCATATATCTCCTTAAAACTTATACATTCCTGACTTTTCGAATTATTGGTTTTGAGCATTCCTGAAGAAGTTTAAGCCAGAAAAGTGCTTCTGACGCCCTAAATTCATACACTTTATAGCAAATGAAATAGTACATGTATCTCATTAAAAGGCATCATTTCACAAATGTTTATAGCTCTACATCATAAGTTTTGCTATTATATGTGCCTGGTGAACCTAACCCTTTTTCTAATGAAATCATGTTTTAATTTGGTTTTTAATTTTTTTTTTAACTTTTTCAGAGTTGTATGTTGTGGTTTTTATGTTATCCTTTGATAGTGGTGATATCATGGATATTTTATGAATACCTCAGATATAAGGTGAGTTATCTATGTTATCCTTTGATAGTGGTGATATCATGGATATTTTATGAATACCTCAGATATAAGGTAAGTTATCTATGTTATCCTTTGATAGTGGTGATATCATGGATATTTTATGAATACCTCAGATATAAGGTAAGTTATCTAGTAAAAATCATTTAAAGTAAGAAGTTATACCTAGTGAATTCAAAAGGGAAAAGTATGAAAGGATACAAAGGTGAATTGAAGAAAATGAGAGCAGTTTTATTGAGTTTCTTTATCAGGCCACTAGAACATATTCAATAAGCAGTTTGGTAAGCACATGAAAAAGCGAGAAACAGACTATGAATTGGTATTTCAATGATTTAATACTTCATATATTATTTGAAGAATTTAATCTAGTGTATATCAGGAAATAACAATATATACTGGTGGTTAGCAACATAGATATTGCCATCCTTTCTGTTATTATAGTTTATTAGTGCTTGAATGCAGAATGTGTGGATCTATCATTTCATACATTAGTTCTGTCTGCACACCTGCTAAAGTATCCAATAGTGTTCAGAAAAAAACAAAATAATTTATAATTTTTTAATTTTTATGAACATCTGATTTATAAGTGTATTATGAGGAGTTACAGATTGAGGTCATGTTTCATTTTGAATGTCATGATTTTCAGGGAATTTGGGCCCCTTGGAACCAGCAGCTGATTTTGGAAAACTTTTTTATACCTGTTCTGATTTTTGTCGAGCCTGCGTCTTTTGTCGCAGAAAGCTCGACATAGGGATAGTGATCCGGCGGCGGCGTTAGCTAACTTCTTAAAAGCTTCATATTTTAGAAGGTGGAAGACCTGGATGCTTCATACTTTGTATATGGATGCCTCATGTTACGAAGTTTCCGTCAGTCACATGTCCAATGTCCTTGGCCTCATTTTCATGGTTCAGTGACTACTTGAAAAAAAAGTTAACATTTTTTGTAATGCTAAATTCTCTCTTATTATAAGTAGTAGGATAACTATATTTGGTATGTGCGTACCTTGCAAGGTCCTCATGCCCGTCAGACAGTTTTCACTTGACCTCAACCTCATTTCATGGATCAGTGAACAAGGTTAAGTTTTGGTGGTCAAGTCCATATCTCAGATACTATAAGCAATAGGTCAAGTGTATTCGGTGTAAGGAAGGACTGTAAGGTGTACATGTCCAACTGGCAGGTGTCATCTGACCTTGACCTCATTTTCATGGTTCAGTGGTTATAGTTAAGTTTTTGTGTTTTGGTCTGTTTTTCTTATACTGTATGCAATAGGTCTATTATATTTGGTGTATGGAATGATTGTAAGGTGTACATGTCTAACTGGCAGGTGTCATTTGACCTTGACCTCATTTTCAAAAGGGAAAAGTATGAAAGGATACAAAGGTGAATTGAAGAAAATGAGAGCAGTTTTATTGAGTTTCTTTATCAGGCCACTAGAACATATTCAATAAGCAGTTTGGTAAGCACATGAAAAAGCGAGAAACAGACTATGAATTGGTATTTCAATGATTTAATACTTCATATATTATTTGAAGAATTTAATCTAGTGTATATCAGGAAATAACAATATATACTGGTGGTTAGCAACATAGATATTGCCATCCTTTCTGTTATTATAGTTTATTAGTGCTTGAATGCAGAATGTGTGGATCTATCATTTCATACATTAGTTCTGTCTGCACACCTGCTAAAGTATCCAATAGTGTTCAGAAAAAAACAAAATAATTTATAATTTTTTAATTTTTATGAACATCTGATTTATAAGTGTATTATGAGGAGTTACAGATTGAGGTCATGTTTCATTTTGAATGTCATGATTTTCAGGGAATTTGGGCCCCTTGGAACCAGCAGCTGATTTTGGAAAACTTTTTTATACCTGTTCTGATTTTTGTCGAGCCTGCGTCTTTTGTCGCAGAAAGCTCGACATAGGGATAGTGATCCGGCGGCGGCGTTAGCTAACTTCTTAAAAGCTTCATATTTTAGAAGGTGGAAGACCTGGATGCTTCATACTTTGTATATGGATGCCTCATGTTACGAAGTTTCCGTCAGTCACATGTCCAATGTCCTTGGCCTCATTTTCATGGTTCAGTGACTACTTGAAAAAAAAGTTAACATTTTTTGTAATGCTAAATTCTCTCTTATTATAAGTAGTAGGATAACTATATTTGGTATGTGCGTACCTTGCAAGGTCCTCATGCCCGTCAGACAGTTTTCACTTGACCTCAACCTCATTTCATGGATCAGTGAACAAGGTTAAGTTTTGGTGGTCAAGTCCATATCTCAGATACTATAAGCAATAGGTCAAGTGTATTCGGTGTAAGGAAGGACTGTAAGGTGTACATGTCCAACTGGCAGGTGTCATCTGACCTTGACCTCATTTTCATGGTTCAGTGGTTATAGTTAAGTTTTTGTGTTTTGGTCTGTTTTTCTTATACTGTATGCAATAGGTCTATTATATTTGGTGTATGGAATGATTGTAAGGTGTACATGTCTAACTGGCAGGTGTCATTTGACCTTGACCTCATTTTCATGGTTCAGTGGTCAAAGTTAAGATTTTGAGTTTTGGTCTTTTTTTCTAATACTATATGCAATAGGTCAACTATATTTGGTGTATGGAAATATTTTATGATCTATATGTCAGTAGCGCAGGTTTTATTTGACCTTGACCTCATTTTCACAGTTCATTGATCAGTGTTAAGTTTTTGTGTTTTGGTCTGTTTTTCTTAAACTATAAGTAATAGGTCAACTATATTTGTTGTATGGAAGAATTGTTAGCTGTACATGCCTGCCTGGCATGGTTCATCTGACCTTGACCTCATTTTCATGGTTTAGTTTTCTTGGTTAATGTTAAGTTTATGTGACAGTTGTAATAAAGCTTTATATTTAGGACTATCAACATAATATCAGTGATTAGTAAAGAAGGCGAGACATTTCAGCGTGTGCACTCTTGTTTGGAATTTAGAATAAGCAAGTGTACCAATACTGTTCATTTTAAGTGAACAAATATATTTAAGAAAATTTGATACATATTTTATTTTGTACAACACGTATGTACTCAACAATTATATGCATTGTCAATGTAGCTGGAGGTTTTTGTCCAAAAGAGTAACACGATGTTCGGGAAAATATAAGTGAAATTTCAATTTTATACCTGTAGCAAATGTAACAAAAAATAACTGTGTTGGAAACCTCATCTAGACAAATGATACATGGATATTTATTGAAGAGAAAACTAATTACATTTAAATGTGTAGTTGACTTGAAGTAGGATATTGACATCAACAATTCCATCTTCCAATGTGAGCTAGCAAGCTTTTTGTGAAACAACTGGTAAGGTAAATGGTTGAATGAAGATTTAATATTATGATATTTAGCAAGCTGTTTAATCATATCATATTTCATCTAACATCCTTGTTTGAAACCAATTAATGCATGTGATATGTTTTTTCAGTTGATAACAATGGCAGTTGTAATGAGTCAGTGTGGAGCTGTGGCCATGCTGTACAAGTTATTCCTGTCTAGAAGCCTGTATTGGGAAATATCTGCTTTATCAAGTTCTCTCCCCTTACATGTCAGAATGGATAAAACATTAGGATACAAATTATACTCATGACAGAACAACATGGATAATTAACTTTGTCCAAAACTGTGTTCAGAAAGATGTGAAGGGACCAGTATGGTCATAGTATTTGAAAATGTAACTTTTGTTTAACTGATCTTCAGTAGCATTGAAGTTCAGAATGTCCTAGCTGAAAGTATGTAAGACACCACCAAGATATAACATCAGCACAGAGGGTCATACCAAAGGATTTGATTCTGTCTGGAAAATGGACAGTATTGACACTGTAGGCACTTTTTAAAAAGATGGTTTTATAATTTCTTTCCATCTCACATATTCTGGAAGATAAACATGAAATTGTTATAACATATTCATCAAATTTTATATACATGTACATTTGTAGTCAGTATAATATAGATTTTCTAAAACTGTGAATGATGAAATAGAGTATCTATAGTCATATGGAAATTTAAACAAATGATTGGTGATGGAATGAAAGGTTAATTTTCCTTGTGAATGATCTTATTTTTAGCTCACAGGCCCAAATCCCAGTGTAAGCAATTGCTATTGTTTGGTGTCTGTTGTCATCCTCTGTCATTCGTAAACTTTCACAAAAATCTTCTCCTCTGCAACTTATGGGCCAATTAGGGTATCTAGTGTAAAAAATGTGCCAGGTGATCCTGCTTGCCAACCAAAATGGCCACCAAGGCTAAAATTAGAACAATGGTATTTTTTTTATCTTGTCTTATCAAGGGCAGAATTGTTTAAAATAATGAGATCTACCTACCTTCTATTAAACCAAAACTGTTAGACTTCTCCTTATAGAAATTAATACCCTTAAATGATGATTTTTTTCCATTTTGCTTATTATCTTAAGAACTATAGATCAACTCAAAATAGCAAAAAAGATAAGACTAATAGTCAACAAAGCAGAAATCCTCAGTCAACTACTTATAGGAGATATTGCCCTTATATTGATTTACATTTTGCACATTTTTGACAAAAAAACTATAGTAGAGTGAAATTGTAAACAACAAAAATGATCAGCAAAAAATAGACCTTTAGTCATGCATTATATTCTAGTCTTTCATGTTGGAAAGTGGCCATTGTTGAAGATGCACATGGATTCAGGTGATTGACAAAGGCTCTTTAGATTCTTTATTATTTTATGGGATTTTTTTATTTGTTTTGGGTTGGTGTTTTTTTTTTGGGAGGGTATTTGATTCATTTATGTTATACATAAGTAAACTTGAATTTAATGAATTGTTGTGTGAACTGAGCAGAGTATTTAAAGTGAGAATGTTACATATCATATACAAATTTGCTCATTAAAATGGTTATGTAGTCAATGTGTAAATGATCCTTATTTATTTTTAAAACAATAAAAAAAAAACACTAATGAAAGGCAAGTTGGTCTTTTAATTGTTGTGATTGATAATTATAAGAACTTTTGTAGCTATGTAAACTTCCACTAGGTAAAACTAGGCATACATTACCTTTAGCAATAGCAGGTCCTAAGCTAGTGAAAGGAAAAATTGAATAAATATGCTACAGTCATAGGACAAAAGTATTTTATTTTTTTTACTTTTTCCCTCCATATATTTTATATCACATTTATTTTCTTTGGAAATTCAAATTTCTTGTACTTCATCCAACCATACCCATTTTATAGCCTACTTTATTAATTTATTGATAGATTTGTTCTCATCTTAAATATTCATGTACTGCTTACCTCAGGATATAAAGGAAAAAACTATTAATCAATCATAGTCTTATTTAGACTTTCTACATTTAGAAAGTTATCTAAACAATATGTCTGATTAAGTAATTACATTGGGATAGAATAAAACTTGATATTTACATGTAGTTATACACATATTTCAAAGTTTAATCAGATTTGTGATTGAATTTCTCATACTTAAGGATAGAATTTACCACATCTGCATATGACAAAAGCAGATGAAAAATGGGAGTGAATTGGGAGAAAAAGGGTAAAATATCCATTTTTGTTTCATTAAAAATTAAATGTTAAGGAAGTTTTATATACAAATGCTTATTTAAACACAAATTATAATTATATTGTTTTAAATTTTGTTAAACTAAATACAGATCTTGATGAAGAAAATTAACAGTTATTCTTTTAAGTTTTGCACTTTGATGACAAAATTTTTGATCTTGTGTAAAAATTAATTCAATCATTTGTGATGGCAAATTACTAATAGCAATATAATAGTGTCTGAACTAATCATGGAATGAAAAATTAAAATATTCCTTATAAATTTTTTGTCCATAGACTGCTCTGACAAATTGTCTTGGCTGTAGATACTGTAAACTTGTATTACCACCATATTAGTTGAACTGTTTTTATTATGACAAATACCTAAAAATATTTCTAAATCTGTCATGTATGTTAGATTGATAATGGTAACCATCTTACATGTATTTCTTAAACGCTAGTGTTTATGACTGATTCCAGTTCAGTGTCATATATTTTGTTTTAATAAACAATCACTGTGTCTGAAGCTTAAGTTTTTGATAGTCCTGTATACCGGGGTAAATGTTTCAAGGTTAGACTACATCATAAAATACAAAGTCAGAATCTTAAATTACTATAAATGAATAAACAACAGAAAGATGAAGCATTTTTAAAATTTGGTTTCTGTATGTTTATTATATGATTTATTAATGCAATAATTTTCACAGAATTCATTGTAACGGGATTTTTTACTACAATTAATTCCCTTTAAAAGTAAAAAGCTGTTTTAAACTAAATACTGAAAGCGGTTTGTCATTTATAGTTGTAGAAAATAATCATATTCATCCATTTCAATATTGTCAAGCTAAGTGTTGAATCATCTGCATCTTTTTGGTGGTATTTGTTCTAATACTAGGTGTTTAAGTCATGAAATGGTGCAATGATTATTTTATGTCAAAATGTAAATTGGTTGTTATGACAACAAATAAAATATTTATTGTTTTCAAATCTTTTTTGGTCAAGAATAAATGCTTTGCAGTGTCCAATTTCCCGAAGAGCTGCATTACTATGTTATGTGTGCATGAAATATAGGCACATATTAATAGGTCTCACAAAAGTAATGCACATCAAAACAGGAGTGCACACACTGAAATGTCTTGACTGCTTTAGAATCCGAGAAACAGACCTAACCAAGTAAACTAAACCTCTACCAATGACCCTTGAAATGATGTCAAGGTCAGATGAACTCTGCCAGACAGACATGTACACCTTGCAATCATTCAAAACACCACATATAGTTAACCTATTGCTTATAGTATTTGAGAAATGGACTTAACTATGAAAACATAGCACTAACATTTGAGGTCAAGGTCAGATGAACCTGCCAGGCAGATATATACACCATATAATCATTTCATATACCAAATATGGTTGACCTAATGCTTAAAGTACCTGATAAACAGACATTGCCATGAAAACTTAACCATAATCAGTAATTCATGAAATGAAGTAGAGGTCAAAGTGAACCCGGTCTGATGGACAGGTAAACCTTGCAAGGATCAATTGTGTCAAATATAGTTATCCTATTGCCCATAATCAGTGAGAAATGCACATGACAAAAAGCTTATAGTCTTTTTAAGCAGTTGCTGAAGTATGAAAATGATGTCAACGACAAACAGAAACTTTGTAACACAACAAATCTGTTTAAACAAGATATGAAGCATTCAGGTCATGTACCTCTTAAAATAAGAAGCTTTATACAAATAGGTTACGCTCTCAGGCACTTGTCTCTGAGAAAAAGTTCCAAATACCTTGATAATTACTTACAGATGTGGTATTCTGCTTTTCTGCTGTCATATTCATTTGACTGCTCATCTTCCCTCATCTCTGTCGCTCTCTGCTGTGCTTTGATGTCTTCGGATGGTTCCAACCTTCACCAGATGTTTCGACCCTGTACCATTACATCCTCTGGTTGGTGGGTCAGTAGAGGTGGCCAAACCTCTACTCAACAGCACTCGGCTTCCAGCTCAGATCATCACGGCGATGCCATAACCATGAATGAACGTTCTGCTGCTTCTCCTAGCTGTCTTACTGCTGTCTCCCGTGCCTTTCCAACTATCCCCGTTGCCTGTAGCATCCCCAATACCGACTCAGCAGAAAATCCTCTGCAGCCTTCTTTTACCGGGAACAGCCAGGCTTTCCAACCTCTCTCTCTACATGCTGTCATCAGCTCTGTATACTTCTCCTTCTTCCGCTGTTATGGTATGCCTCTTCACACCTTTCTTTCCAAGGAACTGTTAGTTCTACTGCTACTATCATCTTTGACTTCTGTGACGTAGGATTGTCTGTACACATTCAGGAAACACAAGCTTCTTGCCAATGTCAGCCCTCATGTTCCATTCACTGCCCTTGTCCAAGATGAAGTGCTGTTGTGACTTTGTTGCATCACCAGCATCTTCCTCTCTAACAAATCTGATCTGCTTTGCATCTGTTGTTGTTGGTCTCTTCTTCCTTTTCTCCACATCAAGGATCTCTGCCAGATGTTTTAGGACCCTGTCGTACAACCTCAAAGTATGTGTGCCATCATACTTCTTTCTCCATACAACTTACAGCCTGGTTCTTCTATCAGTCCCCACTGATGTAAGTTTGAAGGGGAAGGAAGTGTATCGTAGACTGACCTAGGCATGCATGAAATTCTAAATGGTTCCATCCTCCATAAATCTGCCCATGTGATATTTCTTTCTGGCAAGTTCCACTTCATGCTCCTTGACGGCTTTTGCCCTTCTTTGTTCTTCTTCTACTTGTCATACTTCTGACTGCACCATGCTGCTCTTCTCGTTTGGTGTTGCCTTTGACCACTGTTGGAAATGCGTCATTCCTAAGCCCTGTCTACCGGTACAGGTGTTGCCGACTATATCTTTGTGATAAAGAATACTTTCTGCTTGATCTACTGCAGTCCTCGCTGACCATTTTCGCCCAGTACGTGTCAGGATTCCAGCCTTACTGATCTTGTTATCCTTTGAGTCTCTGAGAGTCATTACAAGTCTGCCCTTTGATACGTTGTATTCCTCCAAAGTTGATGTTAAAGGTAGCTGGATTTGTGATGAACCACTGTAAAGACCTATGGCTGTAAAGGTTAGTGGTACTTCAAGCCATCTTCTGAAATGACTGTTTATCTTACTTTCTATGGCTTCGACTGTTGTTGCTGTCATTTCATAGATCATGAGAAGCCATGTCAGTCTTGGTAGCATTCCATGTTGGTATATCCAAGCCTTAAACTTTCAAGGCTATCCACTATTGTCTACCTTCTTAAACCATTCTGTGATTGTACTGTCTTCATGTTGGAATTGTCTTTCAGGGTGTCATCAAACCATTAATAGGGTTATCTACAATTATTGGTATTTCTTCCCCTTGGATCTTAGACTGGAACTTCGTTTTAATCAGACCCTTTCTCAGTATCATTGATCTTGACTTCTTTGGCTTAAATTTCACCTTTCCCACGTGACTACCTCTTCCAGTGCTAAAAGTATCAATCTTGCTTGAATATGGGATGATGTTGGTACTGTAAGGTCATCCATGAACCCTCTTGTTGCTGGTAGAAAAATCCCTGAATTTTTCTTTGGACCTCTTGTTTCTCTTTCCGCCGTCTTCATGATGATATTCATACTCATAATGAATAGTTTCGGTGAGATGGTACAACCCGTTACTATTCCTTTCTCTTACTTCTGCCATGCTGTTGTCTTATTATCTACGGTAAACCGCATCTTTATTCCACCAAAATAATTTTGGATTATCTTCCTGATATGATCTGGAATGTGGTAGTGATCCATTGCATTCTCTATCAATTTGTGTTGTGCTGATCCGTATGCATTTGTCAGGTCTAACTATACAACTGCCAAATTCCTCTTTCCGGTCTTCGCCTTATATATAAGTTGGATTAGAACACTAGTATGTTCTACACACCCTGAAAAACCTGGAATGTCTCCTTTCTGCATAGATGTATCGATGTAGCCATTTTCTACCTATATTTTGTCATCCTGTTTGCCAATACAGAGAAGTAGATTTTTCCTTCTACGCTCAATAGTGAAATTGTCCTAAACTGTGAAATGTCTTCTGAATCTTTTTCCTTTAGTACAAAGCACCCTCTTGCCTTCTGCCAGCTTTCTGGAATGGTCGCTTTTTTCCATAGTGTTCGGAATAGCTGCCATAGTTTCCTCGGTATCTTTGGGCATTTCTTGTAGACTTTGCATGGTATACCACTATACCCAGGTGCTGATCCTGTTCTTGCCTTTGTCACCACCTCACTAACTTCTTTTCATGTTGGTTCCTTTGTTTCAAAGTCTATTGTTGGTTGTTCTTCTTCTTCAACTCTTGGGCAATATCCCAAAGGTACCTCTCTTTCTTTGTCTGAGTGTGTTTCATACAGATACTATTCTACTTCTTCCTTACTACAATGCAGATGTCCTGTTCTTTCTCCAACCAACAGTGTTTTTGTGTAGTTATATGGATTCTTGATGAAATTCGCTCTGTTTTTCGCTTTCTTCTTATTACTATTCTTGAGTTGTTCTGCCCTTCTAGTTCTTCTCAACTCATCTATAATACTGTCTGTAAGGCAGGCAACTCCTACCTTCTCGATCTCATTACTTCTCTTGTACCGCTTGTTTAGGTCTGTTTGGCGTCTGCTTGATGTTACTCCTTTCTTTCCTCTCCTCAACACCAAATCTCTCTTTCTCGATGTTATATAATAGCGTAGTCATTGTTTCTATTCTCCTCTCAACACATCATTGAAGTGATGTTTCCAGAATGACTCCCAAATCATCGTTCAGATCTCTATATTGGGCTTCACTGTTCATCTTTGGCCATGCTATATATCCTTTCTTTCTGATTTGATGTTTCATGCCTTTGCTGTGTAATATGCTCCTCATTAGTCAAGTGTTGGCTGCTGTCGTGGGATGATACTGTTGCTGAGAGATTCCGTGCACTACGGGTTGTGTCCTAGCTAGGATTCTCCTGAGTCTCACCAGATATGTATGTGCGCTGCTCTGTAACAATTCCTCGATTCCTTCCAAACCTTGACTGGTGAATCTTTAAGACTCTTTTATACTTGCAGATCTTTCCACAATGGCATTTAGCTTCTTCTTTCTCTCCTGTCAAAGAGAGGTATATAGGAAATTTCTTTTTCAGAGACAAGTGCCTGTGGTTACGCTATTATATTGTAATCCCTATGTCTGACATACTGCTACTTTCCTCGCAGGTGACAAAACCTAATTGTAAATTGGAATCTTCCGGTCTGCAATGAGCTACGTAAAATTTCTTTCAAATTACAGAGCCCTTGTACATTAAATTATGGAAAATTTCCATTAAATATTATGAATGTAAAAAAAGTGAAACTTCAATTCTAGGATTCCTTACACAACAAAATATATAGAAGAGTTGTTTGTAAACTGTTGTTATACAGCTATGCATGACTGTCCAACAGCATAACACAGACTTAATCCACATTCTGTATATGTCTGTGTTTGTATGGTAATTTTTATAAATTAACTGTTTGCAAAAGTATGAATTACTCGAAATACTAAGGATTTTCTTATCCTAGACATATATGATTACCTTAGCCGTATTTGGCACAACTTTTTGGAATTTTGGGTCCTCAATGCTCTTCAACTTTATACTTGTTTGGCTTTCTAACTATTTTGATCTGAGCATCACTGATGAGTCTTATGTAGACGAAACGCGCGTCCGGCGTATCAAATTATAAGCCTGGTACCTTTGATAACTATTTGTAACTTGTTGTTATACAGCTACGCATTACTGTCCAACAGCATAACACAGACTTAATCCACAATCTGTATGTGGCTGTGTTTGTAAACTGTTGTTATACAGCTATGCATGACTGTCCAACAGCATAAAACAGTGTTAATCCACAATCTTATTGTACCTGTCTTAATACAGGAGCCTGTTTTCAGTGGTTGTTACATGTTGCTTTTGGTGTCATATTATTATTAAAC